AAAAAAAAAAAAAAAAGATGCAATCAAGCACTTTCGGCTTAACATCATGCTCAGAATTAATGTTAGTCAAACTAGTTTATTTTGGTCATGAAAATTAATTCACCCTTTTATGACTTTACAATCGCTACCAAAGAGTTGAATTCATCATGCCAAAAAAGCCTAAGCAGACGTGAGTGAAAAGAAAATACACAAGAGCATCCGAGTTTGTGATGTTGAAAAAAAAAAAAAAAATGCATTCGATCATTCACTTGATTACGTGGTCAAGAGAGTGTTTGTCTGATGACTTGTCAGTATGCGGTGGAGCACCAGGTCCTCGGGCAGGACGCAGGTGAGATCAGCCCAGGTAGAGGAAGGGAAGAGGGAGAGAGGAGGAGAGTTTTTCGGGATCCTCGGGAGGGGTGGGGGTGTGGAAATGGTTCAGGTTTCAGCGGCTAGGAAAGATGGGACCTGGGAAGGGCTGATTTCGAGGCTTTGTGTTCATTTCTTCTTGGGTTTTGCCTCCAGGGGTTGGCCAATATCCCTCCCACGCAGCTTCAACCCTGTTTATGACAGAAGAGGAACATATGGGTTATACAACTAACCACTGAGACATAACAGACATGAGCTTTTCTTACACGTTTTACAGCGTTCTTACCGATTACTCTCTCGACCTTGCCCAAGACCTGGTTGTTAGGAATTGCTCTCCCACACTCATAGTCGGCAATGACTTGAGGCTTCTCGTTAATTTTCTGAGGAAGAGATTTTCCGTGAATCATTTATACGTTTGTTTAACCACAGAGAAAACAAAACTACACATCCTGTAACTGGGAATCCTTTCATCTCAGCGCTGCATTGTTCACATTATTCCTACAAAAATCAGTAACTTTTTGAGTAATCGATAAAAGGAAATGGTGGCGTCAGTATTTCTTTATTTATTACATGATAAAAGACAATAGTGATAGTGACTGTATGCGAGCAAACTTCAGTTCCATCGACATACACAATCAAGGTACAACAACGGGTTACAAATCCAGACAAATGCACCTTTTTTTTGCGTGCACGTCGTATATAGATAGTAGTCAGTATACTCACAGTGGCCAGGTCTTTCTGGGTCAGGCCTTTCTCCTGTCTGCCGAGCTGAATGACCTTGCCCACCTCTAGGGGAACCCTGTCGTGGTGTAGCTCCTCCGTCTCCCGGTCCAGTTTGGCTGTGTTCTTTGTCACAAGATGCTGTTTGTTCTGCCCCGCAGACCCTGTGTGACAAGCAGTGGATCAAAGTAATGTGGGGGGGCATCACACACAGTGGTAGGTGTGCAGAAACAGTATCATCACAACACAGGTCAATGATGGAAAGAAGAAACTCTGACAAACATTACAAAAAAGAGTCACACTTGCAAGTGAACTGTGGCCTGAATAAATAATGAATTTACATTTCTTGGTTGTCTCAATGTCCTCCCCACGTCTCTGAGCAGAGGTGATAGCCTAGAGAAAAGATGGAAAACAGTAGGTTGCATTATAACCAAGCTCGTAACACCCTATTCAGCTTTTTGGGCTCATTCTTAGTTAATAAGTAACGAATCTCCATGACGAATAAGTTCAACAACAGATAACATCACCAAGAGCTTTATCTGTCGGCTAACACTGCTTCCCCTTTATCGACAGTACAGCCAACTTATAGCCAAGTTGTGCTTTTCAGGTTAGCATAGCTGGCTAACGCTAGCTAGCCTCGTCGCTATTTTCGTAACCGTCATATATTTAATTTAACGTGAGGCAACTGCCCCGGACTAAGGTAATAATTTATGGGGAAAGTCTGCTTTGCTGAACAGACCATACTTAAATAAAACAGTGGCGTGTTTGAAAACATATTTTTAATTTGCTGACATAGACGTTAGCAGAGCTATCTGGCTAACTGAACTTAGGTTAACCTGAGCTAAGTTACCTCCGTAGTTTGTTTACAGGAGCAACACGACCGTTAAACTGGCAGCACTAACGGCTCACACGTCCGCATACATCGAACGAACTACCGCATTCTGAGCCGTTACCGTTAACGGTTGGTCTCTTCCAGCAAACCGTTAACGGTAACTGCCCAGTCCGCTGTTGTTATTAAAATAAAACCACGACACATGGTCGATGTCTGCTCGTAACAACGCGCAGACACGGTCGTTATTTGCTTATAAATCACATACTAGACGTTAACTCGGGTGTTCGGTATAATCTGAAGCCCGACATTTGCTCATTTCAAGTACCCGTGGTTAAGAGTATGCCCCAGAACAAATACACGCAGACGAAGGGTGGTGATCATGCTAACCTGCTTGGATTTGGCCTGGGCAGCAGTCGGCCCTTTCTTCCTCAAGACAGTAACGGTGTCCCAGTCACTTTCTGCCATGTTTTCAGGGGGTTGACTCGATACCCGTAGAGTTTAATATAAGATACAAAAATAAGTTCAACTCAGTGTGTTCAAAATGATCCCTTTAAAGAGGGTAGTGCTACTTTAGCTCATCAGACGCTCCTTCCAGAATTATCACCCACGCGTTCTGCCAAAGCTTTATTTAAAACAGAGAGACGAACAGTGACAGAGTGGACGCGGGCTCAGCAGCGACCTCTGCTGGTGGAGCAGGCTGACCTACATACATATACGCAGGTTTTCAACCCTGTAAAGTACCTGCAAGTACAGCATGCCTGATTGCACTTTCAAAACACACATTGCATCAGACAGGGGGGGAACACATTGCCACTTACACAGTTGTAATATTACAAAATATCAGTTTGATTTGTCTGTTTTTGAGAGTTCAGGCTTAAATAATTAAACTAAAACATACATAGTAATTTTCTACAACTTAGTTTATACATTACATTGAATAATATACCACTGGGTGCACCAATAGTACGGTATATCGTGTGTGTTGTGATTTTTATTTAAGTACATTTTAAAAATAGAAGTCACTTTAGAGAATCTCACAAAGCTAGCATGGACATAAAATGGACTGACAGGATTGGATAGCCATGTTTTTTATTAAAAATCTAACACGTTCAATAAAATAACAATATACGACAGATAAAAATGTATTACACTACATGTAATTATCATAATGAGTGGAAATGTACTGATAAAAAAATAAATGTGCAATGAGTTTGGGTTTGGATCATCAATTTGGTGGAAGTGAGCCGTACAGTATTTTGCATTAAATTGCATCCTCAGTTGATCCATTGGCCACAGTCTGCCAGGTCACCAGTTACAGGACATTTCAGAGGCAGCATCGCTGTTTCGTCTTGTGCGGATGGGGGACCAGCCAAACTCCGACTGGGCGTCTTCAGTCTGGTGGAGACGTCCCAAGCGGTAGCCATGTTTGGAACCCTGTTTCCCTGCCCATGCTCGAGGCTTGGGATTCATCTGGAAACAGATAAAGCAGAAATTAGATAAGAGACTAAAGCAGAGTCCAATGAGTTTTCAAGTCCCAGGACCATTTCCAAGTGGAAAACAGGAATTCCTTCTTTATTTTTCCACCAAGCTTTTAATGAAACTCCCTAAAATAAGTGTTTTCCTGTGTCACAAGGCTGGATTACCTACCAGGAAAAGTGGGCAACTGCTGTCTGTTGTTTGTGTTTTAGTATGACGCACAACTGTGTTGTTAACCTGTCATACTATCTAGAGGACCGGTATCAAAACCTAGTTTTAATACCCTAATAAATCAGTTAGTATTATTCGTTCACTTTGCCTGAAACCAATAATTATCAGGTAGTTCAACTCAGGCCCACAGAAGTAAAAAAAAAAAAAACAATTTTAAGAGCAGCTTTGTTATTACGGCATAACATACCATAATATTGACAGTAGTGATTAAAAAAACCAAAAAAACTTTGCAAGTACATAACCCAGATCCAATTTAAAACTCTGTTTCTTACCTGAACAAAAACAGTAGTGTTCATGTGAAGAGTTTCCACTCGCTCTGACAAGTGATTCAACCATTCTACATGGTCAGCAATAGACTGGCTTAGATCTCCGTTGCTCTATATTAGAAGAAGAAATTATCAAAACAGGAGAAAGCTAAAGGAATATGTGTTTTGATCATTTATTTCCTGCCTATTTCCTGTACATTACCCCAGACAAATTGTCCTTCAGTTCAACAGCACCAAGGCGAACATGCTCCAGTTTGTCAATCTGCTCTTTCAGCCTGTCGTCAAGCTCCTGCATCATCATCAGTCCCTCATCGGGTCTGACACCCCGCTTAGTAGCCATCCTGGGACACAGAAACAACATGTTAAAAAAGGTTTACCTGTTCAATTCAAGCATTTCCTCACTGACCAGGTACAACCACCAGAGAGAGCCACAGCAGCAAGAACAACTTCCCCACAGAGGACCCTTCTGCTGCAGTGGAGGAAACCGGCTCTGCAATCTTTGGTGACTACATTTCTCTCAAGATTTGAGTACAATCACACTATTCTGCCCAACAGTAAAAATAATTCAGTCATCATTTAAAAAGCTTACCAGTATGAGAAATACTGCAAGTTATGATTTTCCCAGCAATTCTATTGCATGCACCTGGATGAGAACGGCAGCACTAGTATATAATATGTAGGTTATGTAACATTTATTTATTTTATGTTAAATCTGATTCAAGTAAATCATTCTGCATTATTATTAATATTGGTCAGTATCATAAGGCTACATAGGCATATAAAATAAACTTTTAGCTCCACTAGATAATTTTCAGAGAGCCTTGCAAAAAGTACAACTCAACTAACAGGTATTTTCAATATTAGTTTTCAATTAACTGATCGATGGGTAGTCTTTAAAACAGAAAATAGTTTAAATGTCTATCATTATTTCCCAGAGCCTGTGGGGACATCCTAATGGTTTACAATGTCCTAAAACAGAGAAAACAACCACCACGGTGGAGCTTTACTTGATAAACTACTACTACTATACTAACAACGACTAATAAATTATCAAAACAGTGGCTAATAATAAGTTAATTAAAAAGAACAGCACGGCAATACCGTGAAACAGCTCTCAATTGGACGCCAGTCGATTTTAACAAATCAGTTTTACAAACAAGTGTTAGTACGGTCCAGGTAAGATGGCTGACATAACGTTACTTTAGTCTCAGTAGCAACATTTCACGTTTGTTCCATTACATTATTCAACTTTTCGAGTACATTTTAAACTTTGTGGAGAATTGTTCCGCTATGGCGTATCGTTTGTATGCAGGGACTGTAGCCACCAAAGCGAGGCCCTTACATATTTTCGCTAACAGTATAACATTATGGTACTGGCTGTTTCCTCCGTTATTACAAACTGAAGCAGAACGCCTAACGTTAGCGCCAACGTTCACTGCCGGTTACCAGTTAGTTTTAGAACGTAGCTAGAGGCTGCTGGGAGATTCTAAACGTTATTCGCGCATTCGATCAGTTAGCACAAACCGGAGGGGGGGCGACAAGTTAAAAACACAAAGTGAAGTTACCTCGGTTTATCTGACGCAAAAAAATAAACTTCAAACACTTCAAAATGCTCGGAAGCAAAACAGCAATACAGTCCCGTGGTGGAGTACGCGACTTTTCACTCCACAGTCACGAAGAGCAACGTTTCTCCGTCCAGACAAGTCTCTTTGTCCCACAACTATCTCTGGAATTTGACACTTCTGACGTCACCTAGCCTGTTTTTTTTTTTGTTTTTTTTTTTTCTGTGAACCTAAATTCTTTTTAATAAAATAAAATCTGTAATCGATTTATGGACCAGTGTTTGTATGTGCCTTTGTTTCACAACCTCAGTGTAGTTCAAAAC